TAGGTTTTATCCCATAGATCTATATTAATCTAGATCTATTTAGCCAAATATATCCAAATATTAATTATGGAAAAAAATAATGTTCCAAACCACCAACCAGCCTATGGTTTCCCATTTGGAAAATGATATGTCCATTCATCAACTGGTCTGTCCAGCCCACAATGATACTTTCAACTCGTAGGGGTTCAAACCAACTCACCAACTTGTCTTGCTCTTAAACATGGCACTTCAAATGTGCCCCATGTGCAGCCGAAGATTTTCCCGTGAAAAATCTATTGAATAAAATTTTGGGATTTCCTGTTTTTTTTTCCCCCTTGCGGTTTCTTACTGGAGGGCAACCAGCGTGAATTAATACGGTCAAAAGGAGTTCCTGGAGTTCGTTCTTCCCTCGGCCCGGCTTCGCCAAGCTTCAAAGTCTGTCATGGCTAGCTTAGAAGATTGAATTTTGGCCTCCAGCAGTGATGCTTCAGCGCCAGTCTTACAAAGTGAAGCCGCCTAAATAGGTACACAGTTGCGTATAACTATACTTAGGTGGGTATAATCTATAACCATGAGTAAACGCAATACTACTAAGTTGACTTCTATATAACTTGCTTAACGTTTGGGTTGATTAATGATTAATATATATATATATATCTATATATATATGTGTGTTTTAATTATTATTATATATATATATTATGATTATTATTATTACTATTTATTGATTTTATGATTATTATCATTATCATTATTAATCATAAATATTATATATATATATTTATTTATTATTATATAGCATTCATGGGTTCACAAACCAACACACATTTCACTTTTGGGGCCTCACCTTTTATATCCTTTTATCATATGTTTGAAACCTGCTGGATCTAACCCACTTTCGGACACCTAGGACCTATGCTGCATGGATCTTTGTTCCATACTTTTTAAGTTTCCAAATGGAGGTGGGTGTCTGAGAATAGGACACCCCCAATTCCAATGATTGTCATCAGTATCCCCATTAAACCAATCTGTTTGTGGTTATCCCATTCTCAGACACACCCAAATGCTGGCTTTAGCAACATCAGCTGGGCTGCAGCAGCCAAACGCGACAGGAAGGGGCCGCAAATCTGATAAGCAAGTTGGTACATGATTTTGATAACTTGGTTTCATGGTGGATATGCATATACATCATGAGTGCAAATGTACATCTATATATATATATATATTACATATACATACATGATATGTACATACTATACATAAAAGTTATATACATGTGCTTGAATATAAATACATACATTCATGATGTGTATATATATATATACAAATCAGTTACAGTATCTTATTTGTTATTAATATATATATATATATAGATAAATAAATATATAGAAAATGTAAGATAGACCAACAGACCTAGTTGTCCTGCACCTGCTCCTCGGCGGCTTCCGCCGCTTTCTGCGCAGCACTTTGGATGGGCCCAGAGCCATCACAGCCTGGGGAAACGCAAGGTTTTGATGCTGGGACAGGCTGGGAATGAGCAAAAAAGCTTCTAAACACAAGGAAACAATGGTTGTGAGTAATGATAATTCCTAATGAATACAGTAATGAATTCCATCATAACAATTTATCATATGTTATCATCATATGGTGGTGAAGAATGATTGTTCTGAATTCCAAAGAAATGAGATTGTTCATCCATGTTTCATTGTAAATGGACGATACCAAAATAGTCTGACAATTATGGATAGATAGCAGCATAACCAATCAAAAATGGATAAATAATGATAGTAATAGATAATTGAATTCATCAAAAAATGATGAGTCATGATGCCAATAGTGGATTACCCTGAGCAGTCTCACAATTGAAAATGATCAAAGCTGGATGTTTTGCATCAATAATGTGTCATGAAAAAGTCAGACAACAATGGATGAAAAATGATAGTAGTGGATATATTTGGATTACCATACTATAAATGTGTAGCTGTGGAAGGTATGGCCAGCTTATAGGATTTGCGTATTTAAAATTCAAAAGGGTGATTGTCCATAGCACGATGTTGAATTGCACGTGATTGACTTGACATTGAGGGAATGCTTCACTACTTTGGCATCAGCTCATCCACAACCATCCAACATCATTGCTGTTGTGTAAAGTAACCACGGCTACGGCGCAACACCAACACTTTCTAGACATACAGTATTAGCAGCAGTTTAGTAAGTCAAACTCAAGTGAGGAGAGAATAGGTCCTACATGAACATCAGACTCCCTAGGGATGCAAAACTACTCATCCTATGAACCCCTTTTTTTGACGTCAAATACTCCCTCAACACAAAACAAGTCCAATACCAGGTAGTGTGAAAAACATTGCAGGAAATAACTTATCATCCATATGATCATACCTATCTAGAATTATTCTCTATCATATTATCATCATCCATTCAACCAACATTTTACCATGGAAAGATCAACATTTCAATAGCTACAGCCATGGATGCCATGGTGAAGTCGCCGAGCCGCCATAGCCCAGCTTGCACTTCAGCTCGTTGACCGTTGGAAACCTCCATGGTGGATCAAAACCATGAGCTAACAGGGTGCCTCGGCGACTCGGTGCCCGTGACTATCTACCCTCTGGTAAATTAACAGTTCGACCCTGGCAGTTGTCGGGTTTGGAAGATTAGTTTCCACTAAAACTAGGCTATTTGCAGGGTCTATGTTAATTTACCAGAGGGTATCTATCTATCTATCGATCGATCGATCTATCCTTTAGTATCCCATCTCATCCTGCTGTCAAGAGCACCTGCAGCCACATCCCGCGCCTGCTCCTGAGCGTTGGAAACAACGGCAATACATATATTTGTATAAAAGGCATCAAAAGGCAATAGAGTTGGAGGATGTGGAAGAAAAGCATCTTGAAATCATTCAAGGATGTTGAAGGACGTTGAAAGCCTCAACTAACGTTCTTGTATGTATAGTTGTTTATAGAAGTTATAGCTGAAGGATGTTGAAGGGGTCAAAGATTTTGCCTTCCTCACACGTCAAGAAACTGTTAACCCTGCACTTCAAGAAGCTGTCAAACCTGCAAAGACTCTATGAACCGAGGGTTTGATAACGAGATCGAAGATCGTCCAAATAGGTGTCATTTGGGTTGCAGCTCTCTAAACACAGCAGCTTTCCAAGCGGCAAGATGGACAGGTTGTCCCACGAACAAAACGTCCAGAAAGTCTCGACAGTGACATTCCAAACCAAGATTCCCAAGGTAAGCCTCGAAATGGCATGGCAGCTTAGTTCTTGTGTTGCCATTCCCACCAAACAAACCGATGGAAATCCATGGCGGCTATGCGATGCAAGTAGTGTACCTAGCCAGGACCGGCGGATGAATCTAGAGGCGCTGACTTCATCTGGAAGGTAATGAAACTGAAACACTTGTCGGATACACTTGGGGTGTTTTTTTCCTGCAGCCCAATTGCAGAGTCTTTCGCTGCACACCTCTCGGTTTAAGCTCCCTCTTGTTGTTTCAGTTCGTCCGTGGGGAACTTGAATGCTGGCAAAGCGAAAAACTTGTTTCGCCATATCAGTGTTGGACTCTGGTCTCAACGGCTTGCAGGGATGCACTGGATATGTACATGTATGTTGTATACATATATATATATATTGTGATCAGATATATATATATATGCACACTTCTGCTTGTAACGATATCATATCTATGTACTACATAACTACATACACATAATAAATTTATATGTAAGTATATGTATATATATATAGATATTACACACACATAATTATATATAATTATATCGTATATCATATATATATAATTATATCATATATCATATATATATATGTCATATATATCATATATGTGGGGCCCTCATATACATAATCCCAACAGTAAGTGCCAGAAAATGCGTGGACCAACATCTTCTAAGAAAAAATGACCGCACACACACACACACAACAGCCTCTTCCGATACCCTTGCACAACAGCCTCTTCCGGTCTTCTGAGTTAAGATCAACACATCCACAATCACAATCAATTCCCATTTTACAATTGTTGGATCTTGTTCATGCTTCAAAATATCATCCAACTACTATGGGTTTTCCAGAAAAAAACAGTGGAAATACAGTAAAAAACAAAAACATAAACTGGTTGGTGGTTTTAACCATCTTGAAAAAGTATTAGTCAGTGGGAAGGATTCTCCCATTTATTATTAAAAAAAACATGTTTGAAACCACCAACCAGACAATCTATGTAGGTAATTATCATGGATAATCTATATGCTAATCTATATGATATGCTAATCCTACATATGGTATAATCTATTTCAAATGGACAATATCAACCCATTTCACAACCTTTTCCACCTCTCTTTCAGAAAGGCGAAGTCTGCATCCCCGCTGTAGCTCCCAGCGTTAAGGCTGAGTCCCCCAACCCAGCTGCGCAGCTGCGCAACAGGTAAGAGCCTTGGGGAATTGGCGAAGGGGGGTTTGGGCTGTTAGACCCTATTGTTTTCTCTATATGTGTATCAATGAATCTCTCTTCATATATATATATATATGTGTGTGATTGTATATGTGTATGTAAAATATGCAAAGATACATGAACATGTAGATATACATGAACATGTAGATGTGTACATGTCTACAAGTTTCCTTTGCAAAGGTCAAGGTCCAGAAATCGCTGGAGCAAACCAGCTGCTCAGCTCGAACCCTGCTGGTTTTTGCAGCAACTTCTTGGGCTTCCGTGCTGCAGATTGCCTTAGTGTGTGCAGCACAAAAAAACACCCAATCATAGAGTGAAACAGTTTACAACAAACGGACAACAACTCACAGTTCCAAACCGACAAATGTATGTATATATATATATACAAATGTAAGTTTCATAAAAATGGGGTACCCCCAAAACATTCATTTATAGATGGATTTTACATGAGATAATCCATCCAGCTTTTGGGGGTACCCCGTGGCATGGAAAAACAGGGTCTATTTGGGCAAACCCCTGCGGCGGGTTTTTTCAGCCATGCTGACGATCGCGAAAGCTGTGCCATGCAAAAACGGTCTGCAAGAAGCAGCATGTCTTTTCCTGGCATGAGCTGAACCAAAAGTTTGTTCTACACTAGACAATGACGATCGTTACCAAGAGTAGCTGCAAGAGAGAGTTGGCATGATGCGGCTCAATGCACGGCGTCATCCGTACAAATATTTATTTGAATCACAACAACTATCCAGACTCCGGTAGGCAGCACGTGAACACAACATACAGATCCTGGACCATCAAAACCTGAACAAACACTTCCAAGGATAATATCATGGCCAACATTCTTGCTTCTCGGGGCAGATGGCGTGCACTGCCACATGTGAAAGTCCCTGCAGCGGGCTTTTTCAGCCATGCTGACGATCGCGAAAGCTGTGCCATGCAAAAACGGTCTGCAAGAAGCAGCATGTCTTTTCCTGCCATGAACTGAACCACAAGTTTGTTCTACACTAGACAATGAAGATCATTACCAAGAGTGGCTGCAAGAGAGAGTTGGCATGATCCGGCTCAATGCACGGCGTCATCCGTACAAATATTTGTGTGAATCACAACAACTGTCCAGATTCCGGTAGGCAGCACAGGAACACAACATACAGATCCTGGACCATCAAAACCTGAACAAACACTTCCAAGGATAAAATCAAGGCCAACATTCTTGCTTCTCGGTGCAGATGGCGTGCACTGCCACATGTGAGACTTTCTTGTGCAAAAGGAATTCACAAGATATGTGTTTCAACCGAATTTTCTCTGGGGTTACTACCGTGGACACGGTTTTTCCCGTGAAAGGAAATTTTGAAACACATCTTCAATGCTCTGCAGCAAGATCAAGTGTCGGCGAAAATGCATACACAGAAGCTTTCTAAGCATACATGTTTACAAGTGTGTATATTGCAGCTGTTCCAACGGGTGCTAGCAAAGTTCTTAATGTATGCGTCTACATATATATATATATACACATATATATATATATATATAGAGTTGCGTGTGCATAATCGCATCTTAAATGTAGTAGCCACAGGCAACATCATACAGCAGGCGCAGACACATTTGTGGCCTCCCTAGGTTTTGTCACTTTGCCCATGTGTTTTTGTCTGCTGGTTCGCAATCTTGTATTGTGTGTTGCGGACAGTTTTGCAATCATACGAAATGCAGCTGCTGCGTTGAAAGCTTGAATGCGGGCTGTGGACCAGAAAGTACAGCAGGAACAATGCTACTGTAACCATATTGACTCTCGCAATGCGCTCGCACATGAGCGTGCCACAAATTGCTTCCAACCAACACCTTTGGGATCGGAATAGGGCGGGGCAGGGCGGGACCAGGGTGGGACCAGGGTGGGACGGATGGAAGGCTCTGGCATGCAGCTTCATACTTGAATGTGTCGGTGCTGTGCATCACTCATCTGCGGCATGTATCTGACCATGCAGCTGATGTGTTGCCGAAGCCGGACGTCGTCTGTGGACGCCGGTTCGTTTAATTCCAGCTCTTCGCTCCAAAGTGAACGGAGTTCGCTTGCGTTGGCGAACTTCTGTTGATGCAGGCCGCTTGAACTTGCGAATTCTTGCCTTGTCACGTTTTTTCTGCACAAGGCGCTGCAATGGTTCTACTCCGCTTTCGCGTTGCTCCTGCACCCACAGTTTCCAAGTCCTCTTCGTCCAGAGTGGCTTCGTTGTAGCTGCCGCCAGGACCATGGCGTGAGGCATTTGCACTGTTGTAGGCCAATGCAGCGCTGTTTGGTGGCTAAGCAGCTTTCCGATCGTTTGCGTACCCAGTTTCAAAGCAAGGGTGCTTCGGTGCATCTGCTGCACCTGCCTGTACCATGCATTTAGCTCTGCATGCAGTGCCTCGTTGGCAGTTGTTCCGCTCGGGAGAAGGATCCTCCGAGATGCAGGCAAAAACTGTCGGTAGCGTAAGTTGTTGGTTAGCCATTCGACTTTGTCTGCAGCTGTAAGTTTGTATAAGAACTTTGCCACAGTGAACTTCGAACCGTCAATCTTTTTCTGCATATCATCTGAATGCAGCGCTGTTAAAGCAGCCACTGCTTCTATGAACTGAATGCGAGTCGGCCAAATCAGAAGCTGCTCAGCACTCTGCAAAATCCGGCGGGCTCGGGCTTTAGACATGGACACATCCAAGATGTGCTGCCGCAGATTCGCTTCTTGCCGTACCTCAGGCACAGGCCCGCCTGCATAGAAAGGGCCCCAAATGTTGCTTTCTACATTCGGGTCGTGCGCCGTGAACTTCACCAAGAAAGATCGCAGCAATCTGGAACCAGCTGATCTTTTCCCTACCAATGCCTGCTCGTACTTCATGGCTGCATGGGTCGGATCCAACGACAAGGCTTTCAAGTTGGGACACACATTTGTCAACTCAGCCAGCAAATTTTCGTTCGGACTGTCTGTGGCCAAATGTTCTACTTGCAGAAGGCCTGCCTGGGGCAAACAAGTCTGCAAGCAAGCGACGATGTGTGGAGGGCTTTCTCCGACAGAAGGCTCTAATGCAAGAACGGCCCCACTGCGACCTCGCACAGACAGCACCCGCGTGTAAGCCTCACCGTCCTGCATGTTTGTTCAGACAATATTTGTTAACACGAAGACAGGAGACAACCTTAGAAGCGACTATTGATTCAAAAATGCTACAAGTTTTGCTTTACATGGTCCTGAAATGGAAAGCTCGCCCTCACACCAGCAGAAGCATTGAAGTGCGCTTGGCCCATCACCGGCAAGCAAACCTTGAAGGTGCCATCCACAGACAAGTAGGAGCATTCACCATGCGCAATTGCTTTCTCCAGCAAATCGGCCCGGAGACTTTGGCATGCGGCGGATGAAAAAATATCTTCCACAAGGGGCCACCATGCATTGACATGTGTTGGTAAGAGCGTTGCGATGTGGTTGCCTGCGTTCAATGCCTTCACCAGTAGTCGAGGCCGCAGCGCTGCCGCCTGGACACCGGCACGGGGTCACTGTCACGGACATGTTGCTGTTGCAATACAAAACCTAGACCTGGCCTTGAACAATGACACTGCATGTCTGGTCACACCGGCCTTTCCATGGTGAAGCAGCATTTCTTGCCACACCTGTTCAGCAAAGGAATGGGTGTACCACAGTCGTCCAACTCGGCGAGCAGTGACGCCTGCCTTTAAATATTCAGCATGCACCACCTTAGGTCCAGATCCATCCAAAAGCAGCCGGATGTGCTTGTCGATGGCATTGCAATTTGAGGACAGGGCTGGTCGAACAGATCGGCGCAACACATCTGCAGACCTTTGGAGATAGTTCCGGCCTCTGCGTCGGTGCAGCTGGTCCGCATCATGGAGAGCGATCAC